TTCCATGTATTTTCCCATAAATAGATCATTTTAAAAAATAAAAAAAAATAATAAATAAAATAAAAAAAAATATATATATACCCTGAAAGTTTGATTAGAGGTTTTTATGTTTCATTGTTCGGTAAGCGAATAATACTGATGAAACATAAGCATTCTATTCATTTTCTTGATCATATACCAATTTGGCTAAACACTCTTCTATAGTTCGGTTAAATCTTTCTACCATTCTATTTGTTTGAGGTCAGTATGATGATGTTAATCGATGTTTTATTTGAAACTTTTAACATAATTGTGCTATTATTTGATTCATGAATGATGTTTCTCGATCTGTGAGTATTTTCTCAGGTGCATCATGTTGGCATATTACTTCTTCATATAGAAATTTTGCTACTGTATCGACCTTGATATCCTTAATGGCTTTAGCTTCTGGCCATTTTGTAAAGTAGTCTATTGCAAATATTATGTACCTATTCTCTATTTTTGTAATAGGTAATAGTCCTTTTATATCTAATCCTACTCGATGAAAAGGTGCTTTAACTAAAATAGGATGTAATGGTTCTTTTCTAATACTTGGTTCTCTTCATTAGCAGTTGTCACAATTTTTCACATATTCTCTAATATCTTCGAATATTTGTGATCAATAATATTGTTCTTTAGCCTTATTGTATACTGCTTCAATTCCTAGATGGGCTCCTGACATATCTTTGTGTAAATTAAATAAGAGTACTTCCACTTGTTCTTGTGTAATCACTCTTTTTAATCCTTCTTTAGTTGGTTTGTATAATTGTGAGTTTTTAACAATGTAGTGGGTTGATAATCGTTAAATTTGTTTTCGTTAAGAAGTATTGCAATTTTTCGGGTAAGTGAAGTTAGTAAGATATTGAATTATATTTTGATATTGTTGCTTATCCATGATCTATTATTGATGTTAAGGTTTGTAATGTGTTTGGTGCCTGTAATTCGTCAATCCTTGAGAGAGTATCGGCGTTTGCCTTTGCCTTTCCTTTACGATATTTTACTTCAAATTGAAATTGTTGTAATAGAATCTTTCAATGGATAATCCTTTTACTATCCTTTTCTTTGGTGGGTTGATTCAACAACTACTGTAATGCTGAATGATCAGTGTATATAATAAATGTATTATCCTCTAAATACCTCCTAAAGTATTTAACTGCCCATACTACTGCTAAAGCCTCTTGTTCAGTAATATGGTAATTTTTTCAGCTGGGCTCAATATTCTACTTACATACCAAATAGGATGTTCTCTTTCTTCATTGTCCTTTTGTGAAAATACTGCACCTAATCCTGTAGTACTTACATCAGTACTCAAAATAAAAAATTGATTGAAATCTAGGTAGGATAAGACTAGCGCAGTCGTCAATTTTCCTTAAGTATTTCAAAAATTTCTTGATGTTGTTTTGTCCAATTATAAGGCACATCCTTTTTTAGCAAATCGTTTAATGGGGCTACCAATTTAGAATAATTTTTAACAAAGCATCGGTAATAAGAGAATAATCCTAATACAATTTGTAATTGTTTAACATTGAATAGAGCGTTGAGGTTGATGATCTTTTCAATTTTTGCTGGATCAGGTTGTATCCCTTATCCTGATATTACATGTCCCAAAAATTGAATTTTGTTCATGTAGAAATGGCATTTCTCTGGATTTATTTTCAATTGAGCTTCTCTTAATAAATTGAAAACCTGTTAGAGATGTTGTAAATATTCGTCATAACTTTTAGAAAATATGATGATATCATCAAGGTATACTAATACGAATTTTTCTTTTATTTTTTGTAATATATCATCCATAGCTCGTTGAAAGGTGGCAGGTGCATTGTACAACCCGAATGGTATTATATTGAATTCATATAACTCATATTTCGTAATAAATGCCATTTTAGGTTTGTCTTGTTCCTTGACCTTAAACTGCCAGTATCCTGAAGCTAAGTCTAAGATAGTATACCACGTTGCTCCTCCTAAGGATTCTAATAATTCATCAATTCTTGGTAAGGAATATTGGTCCTTTATTGTTACATCATTTAATTTCCTATAGTCTACACAGAATCTTATTTTTCCATTCTTTTTCCTTACAAGAACTACAGATGAGCTCCATTGACTTTGAGAAGGTCATATAATTCCTTGATCTAACATATTTTGAATTTCCTGCTGAATATACTGATCATATTTTACTGACATTCGATATGATTTTAGTGCAACTAGTGGTACATCTTTAGTAAATATACAATGTTCATGTTGCTCTGAATGTGTTAATTCCTGTATTGTGATTGCAAAACTATTAAGATTTCTCTCAAGAAATACTTTTAATTATTTCAAAGAAGCATCTTTTAATTTTCTACAGGTTGTATATTTTCCTGAATCATTACCAATTTCTACTCGAATATCATTCTCTTGAACTTTATAGGCAGCCTGTAGATCTATACTATTCCTATAGTATTGATAAGTTTGTACTGTCCTTACAATTTCTCTACAGTCATCATATTGGCCTTCATTTCCCAAATTTTTCAAACACCAACATGTAGTCGATCCTGTCCAATTTCTATTTTGTTGTACATCCATTTCATATTCAATTTGTTGTAAGTATATTTCAGGATATTCCTTTCCATTTATTTGGATTACTTTCTCTTTTTCTTTGGGAATAATAGCAAAACATTGTTGAATATCGATATCTTCTTCCTTTTCAAATTCTAATTTATCTACTGTTATTTTAGGTTTGATTGATATAAACCTTCCTGGATTTATGTCCTGCGTACAAGTTATAGGCGTCATAGAAGTATGATCTCCTTATTGTATGACTAGAATACCAGTATCATAGTCAATGATTGCACGAACTTTTTGCAACCAAGTGTTTCCTAAAATAATATTATATTCCATAGCATTGTTACTAGCATATCTTCGTTAATAGTTATTCCATTAACTTCTACTGTAACTTCTTTAATTATTCCTAAAAGCATCATGGTTTTTCTATCCACTCCCATGATTTTTGTTTTTGCAGGTTCATCAATTTCCTTATTGATTTGCCTAAAATACCACCGAGTAATGATACTTCCTACAGATCCAGTATCTACTAGAGCATTTACAGGGTATCCTTCCACTTAGGCTTCAATAAACAATGCATCCTTGATAGGTTCATCACATGCTGTATTACTAGTAATAATATGTTCCTTTAATTTAGATATGAAAAGTTCTCCATATTTATTATGTATTGGTATTAGTTCATTTAGATCAGCCATTTGTAAATATTCATCAAACTCAAAATGTTGCCAATCGCTATGTTTGGTAGGTTCAGTATATTGAGGTATTTTCTTATTTAGCTTTACTTTATATACGTCACAATTATATGTAGGATCATTTAAGATGTATTCTAAGTAATCTTTATCCAATTGTATTCCAGTTTCTTCATCAATTTCTCGAATCATAGTCCTCATCGATGATTCTCCTAGTTCAACTTTCCCACTGACTATTTGCCATAAGTTATACATTTTCTTATTTGGGTCAATTCGTTTTGAAAGATAGATTCCTTTGTCATCATATAAGATCCTTAACACATACTTCAGCCTCTTTTTAACAGTAACTTCTCCTTGTTGTTGGAGATCTACTGGTTTAATTTGCTGATTTTTACTGAAAATCCTTTCATCAGTTAGTGGATTCTTCCATTTTACTTCCTTACATTCGTATCATGCTACTATTCCTTTAGCAATCTTATTACAATTTGTGCATACAATATGACTATGGTGGTCATATTATTTACAACTAGAGTGATCATATTTGTTTTCATATGGTCCTCTGAATCGCATTTTTGAATTCATTCTTCTACATACATAAGGTACTTCTATTAAACTTGCTTTTGTTTTTGCTTCGCCTTGATTATTCTCTTTTGCTTTTTCCTTTTTTTTCACTTTTAGAGGCTTTGGTTTGTTCGCACACTCACCCCTAAAAGGTGCGACTTTTAGTTTAAATGCTGTTAATTATTATTATTATTATTACTGTTATTATTATTTTATTATTATTTCTATAATTCCTATTTCTGCTATTACTGTGGTTACGATTTCTATTGTTATCATTTTGGAAGTTTTGACCTCTATTATTGTTTGTACTCCTACAATCTCTGGCGAAATGGCCATACTTCCCACAGTTAAAGCATTCAATATTTGATTGGTCATTATTCATACGTCAATTACTTCTACAATCTCTAGACAAGTGTCTAAATTTTCCACAATTAAAACATTCACGTGGCTGTTGTTGTGGCTGTTGCTACTGCTGTTGTTGTTGTTATTGCTGTTGTCCAATATTTGCCATAATCACTTGTAATCCTTCATTCAGTTTGCGATTAATAATGCCTTCAATATTTGGTTGCTGTATAATATATGTAGGTTACATTGCTATACTTATGCAAGCTGATACCATTCCTCCTTGTAATAATTGCATGTAATTAGGTATCAATGAATAGGCAGATAATTCCATTCTAATAGAATATGCAGATTCTACTGCTCTGGCCTTTTTGATTGCTTGATCTATTGTTGTTAGCATGCTGTTTGTACTGGTACCATAAATTCTGGTCATAGCCCTTCAATAAATTCAGCAACTCTATCCATCTCAGCTCGCCTATACTGTGGGTCGACTCGCTTCCATAGTTCTCCTATTGCTGCCGCATATTCTTCAATCATTTTACCTGATTTCTGTGTCCTATGCCTAAGCTGATGCTTCTATTAATTTTGTCAAAATGCATTGCAGAAATGTTGTTCAAATAATGATACGAAGGAAGTACTGGGATTGATCTTACTATTCCAGTTGGTAACATACTGTCGTTAGAACTATGTCAGTGCTGTTCTTGTTAAATAACTGGAAACTATTTCAACTATTCGAGTAGTATTGATATGGTTTGCTTTACAAGCTCATTTGAAAGCCTCAAGCCACTCCACTGGGTCCTGATTTCCTCCTCTAAATGTTGATAAATCTACCAATCATTGTTCTCTTGTTTATTGTCCTTGAAGCCATCCTGTTAGCCCTTGTATGACTTGGAGGTAGGCATTGTTATTGTTTCCTCCTACTGGTACTATAGCTAGTTGAGGTGTAAGTATTGGCTGAGAGGTGTTTATATTATTTGATGGTTGACTGCTAGGTACTGACTGAGAAGTTGTTATGCTGGTTAGTCAAGAACTACCCCCCAGGAGTTTGACGGTGGTCGCATATTATATGGTTGGGCTACTGTTGTTGACTGTGGGGTTCCTTTGGTAGTTACATTTTGATGTCCTATTGTATTATTTCCTCTATTACTTGAGTTACTTTCAAAGCCAACGGCTATTTACTGGTTGCCAATTTACGGTTGTAAAATTAGAGGTTGTAGATGGGTTGCTATTTTGGAGAGGATCAAGTGATACCAAGGGGTCAAATATACGACTATATTGAGTTGCTTGGGAAAAATTGTAGGGATTTCCTAATGATGATCCACTATTTGTATTTCCTACTGATGGAGTTGTTACCCTTAAATTTGATGGCCTTGACGAGTGATTACTGGATAATATTGAGGCTACTAATTTTTAAATATTTTCTACCCTAATAGGAAATGGAGATCTCCTATCATTACTTGTATTAAATGTAACTCTTCGAGGTATTCTACTTGGGGTTCTTCCTCTCTCTAGTTCATTTGCATTATTAAAGAAAGATATTCCCTGTAATGTTTTATCATCGTCATTAACATATTCAAATAGAATATTTTGTTCATAATCAGAGGCATATGTATCATTTTCTTCTTTGTCATATTGCCTCCTATCTCTTAGATATAGTTGTCGTAGTTGTACATACAATGGTATATTAGATGGTAGTTGAGATGTGGTAGTTCCTGATAGTGGTCCATACATTACTAATGGTAGTGTCATCCCTGAGGAACTTTCATTGCTTTCCTGAAAAGGTGCTATAATAGTATCATTTTGATCCCTTTCTATATTTTCTGAGATATCACTGTAATTGCTGTTTATAATTGAGTCGATACTGCTAACACTTTTAATTTCCTATGATTAAAACTGTTTTATTTTACCCAAATTTGATATAATTTATCAGCGATGCTATCAAAGGATTCCTTTAGTATGTTGTTCCTATATCTAATTGTAGTAACAATTTTTTTCAACAAATATTTCAATAAGTGATCTTTTTCCAAAAAGCTAGTCTCACTCTCTTAGGCCCTTATAAAATATGCTACAGTAAAGATAGTGTATGATATAACGTTATATTTAGATATAATCCACAGAAACCAAAAATTATCGAAAGATGGTAGTTTTCCTGATTGAGTTTCGTAGTCTAGATGACACTGTAGGCAGGATTGATCTAAATAGGTAATAAATGAGATTTTATGATCCTCAAGTTCCTTATGAGCAGCTATGTGTTGTCAGACGGTTAGTAAGTATTGTTCCTCAGTGATATAATCAGTACTAGATCCTCCAGATTTATTGAGATTCGTTGTCAAAGTAGTTATCACTAAATACTAATTCGTCCTACGTGGTCTTAATCTTATGAAATTCAATAAAATGTTTTAGGTCGTTAATGTTGCTTTGTCCTTCGCATACGTTTAATTTGTCAGATTAGTTTTTATTCTACCCAACCCACACCAAATTGTTATCTTATGATATTAACGACTGAAAATTAGTATTAACGCAAGATTAACAAAGAGATTTAGCTTTTATTCAATACTTTTTAGGGAGAGCTCTGAA